AGAACGATCTCAAGTGGAATACACATGTCTCAAGTATTGTCAGCAAAGCGTGTAAACGGATCCACTATCTTAGGGTCTATAGAACAGCCCATCTCCCCAGGGACATTCGTCTTACAACTTACATCACTAAGATTAGACCTGTTTTAGAATACGCCTCGCCTGTCTGGGGAGGGCTCCCCATTTAGCTCGAAGAAGACCTACAGACAGTGCAGAATAGATGTCTAAATATCGATGGTCTCCCTAGGGTTACTGTTAAGTCACTTGTAACTAGGCGTCAGAATTTGACGAGGAAAGAATTTAAACGTATCCTAGAATCAGAAGCACATCCTTGTGAACGTTTTTTTAGAAAAGCCAGTGGATCATGGCCATAATCTAAGATCTTGTAAGACTAACCCAGCGCACCTCAGATTACCTGTATCACGCACTGTTAGGCACAAACAATCGTTTATTCCTAGAGGTGCTAAACTTAACTTAATTTGATACCTATATATAATATGTAGTGTTTTGAATTTTTATTGTGATATTACCGTAATTCTTATCGCCAAAGGTAATAAATAAAGGTTATTACTATTATCCACTCAGTTTTATCGATGTGTGTAAACTGTTGGGAATCCGAATGCGCTTTTTTGTATGAGGACAGTAGTATAGGAGGGACCGAATTAACCTTTTCTTTGGGCAGCAATTCATTCACTTGGGCAGGAATAAATTAACGCCAATGACGTCATAGGCTATTGTCTTGATCTCATGAATAAAATGCTGTGGTATCTCATAAAGATAAGGTCATGTACTAGTTTTAGTTGGTTTAGGATTTCTAGTTACTTTAAAGTCGATAAACGTCTTCGTTTTCGATTGGTTAGTTAGAAAATAAGAAACGTTTTTATTGGTTAATTCATACTGTCTGAGGAGTAAAGTCAAACTTGTCTGTGACTTAAAATCACGGAGGCGTAATGTAATTATGCAAGTTCTATTTCCTGCTGCTGTGATTGTCCTAGTTCCGGTTCACTGACTTTTGGCGGGCAAATCGTGCATATTAATGAGGGCAAAGACAAACCAGCTCTTTTTAGCACGAAATACAATGTTTTACTTAGCCCTCTTCCTTTTCAATTTTATTTCTCTCCTCTGAATGGCATTTGACATTATCTATCAAAACCTGTATTAGGCGGACACCCTGTATTAAGCGGACACTACAGCATTCCCGGAGGGTGTCTGCTTAATACAGGTTTCACTGTATTGCAAAACGAGTTTGTGAGCTTAACAACAAAACACAGAAGATGAAGCCGAAAGATTATAGGAAGAAGAAAGGATCTTCTTATTATGGACCTGTCAAGGTAAGTTCTACTTTTTGAACACAAACACCCTTTTTTTAACAAAGCTGTTTTAAAAAAAGAAGAAGAAAAACAAAAAAATGCAGACACGGTTTTTTAGAATAACTATCTGATGGTAAGTTTGGCCAAATTTCTGCCAAATTGGTTTACGGGCAGTCTGCACCAAAGACGAAACTAAATTCTACTTAAGGCCGTCAGCAAAACAACGCCGAGATCCGTGGTCTGGACCCTCACCTATGTACCAGGATTTACGTACGCGCCATGATTGGCCTCTTAAATAAAGCCACAAAATGCTCATGCAACAGCATTGTGCCGTTTGCTTTCAATTGTGTCGCATGCACTTTAAAGTCTCTAAATATTAAATTATCCTAGAAATGCCAACTAGAGACTTTATTTACATTTCAAGAGACGATCTAAACTGAACGGATTAGTTCATGATAAGTTTGGTGTCTGTCTCAGTTTTGCTCGTCTGAATATCAAAGTTTGCCGGATCGACAAACAGGTTCTCCTAGTCCGCTTCAGACGGATAGGAAGCAGGGGCGTAGCTACCTGTACGCACAGTACACACGTGCCTACATTTAATAGTCGAGTGTAAAAAAAATAAAACAAAATAATGAGATACAAAAGTGAATAATGAAAAGAAAAAGATACAAAGGATAAGATAGATGAAAGTTAATTATTTTAAAAGCACAGTTCGGCTCAATTCGTTCACTGTTTGATTTTTCTTTTTACAGCCGAATGCCGGCTTCCAGGAAAGAGACGTGATTCACTAGTGGACCGAATCTTCATGATCACTTGTATATTTAGACAAACAGCGGGAGAAAGTGCAAACAGCAAGGCTGGATGGTTTAAAGCGTAAACGCGTTGTTTTCACTTCGGTCTCTCTTCGCACTAGACGAAGAAGGGCAAGATTACATCAACATTAACGCAGGGATCTTCCTCGGTTAAACGTAATGTGGAAAGTAACGGTAAAGGAATCACACTTTTGCACATAAAAGTCTGAGATACCACTGGACTGTTCGCGTGGGCGCTACGGTTACATTAGAGGACTCATAAATATTTCCGATTCAGGATTCCGGTCTTATTTTGTTGAGGGTATTCGGATCACTTCGTAAGCGTTCATAGAGTCCTCATTCAAAAAAGCGCATTCGGATTCCCAACAGTTTACACACATCGATAAAACTGAGTGGATTTTGCAAGGACGACGGCGATAGAGAACAACTGCGTCAAAAAGCAAAAGGTTTTAAAAGTTAAACAACAAATTTTGCACGTGTAGCACGCTTCTTGGTACATTTCTTTGCCTCTTGCACGACCACGACGTGAAATTTTTTTACGGGACGTTGTTTGGAGGACGTAATAAACACCTGATGATGATTTTTTTCATCCCCAGTTCAAACTTGGGTGCGGTCCCCAGGGATTCAACTCCAGTGAAATTCTCCTATTCATTTGCCGTTTTCAGCAAGTTCGAAAGAACAAAACAGTTTGAAAAAACGCGAATTTGTTTAAATAGTGACGTTTTTGCTACCCTCGCCACTAATATTTTATAGCACCCTACATTCATGAACTTGACACTTTCATTTTGGTTTTACCGCAAACACTTATGATCGAAGGAAGAAAGCATCATGCAGGATCATGATTCGTTGGAAGAACTGTTTACTCTACAAAACACTGCGGAATTAATGGTAATTGTTAGATACAAAGTATTCACGTTCGATTTCGGGTTCAAAATCTCCAGAGACTTGACCAAACCGGGAACTTTTTTATTCTTTGGATTCCCGCATCTCTGTACGTCTGTAAACATAGCCTTGAGTCATTAAAGCGATTGGCGTGCTTAAGTCAATAAACTCAAAAAGGCGAAAAAGAATTTTTCAAATTACTTATAGACGTCATAAACGCTTAGGCTTACAGTAACCTTACCTTGGTGTGGGGTGGGGTACAGGGGGGAAAGGGGCATTTGGTGAGTTGTGCGTACCTCTGAAAAAATACTGGCTACGCCCCTGGGAAGTGTACAGATCTTCTAGGGGACAAACATACACACA